GTGTTGCTGTATACTTCCCTTTTAGGACTGCCTTTGCTGCATCCCAAAGGTTTTGAACAGTTGTGCTTTCGTTTTCATTTGTTTCCATGAATTTTAAAAATTCTTCTTTTATTTCCTGGTTGACCCATTTATTTTTTAGTAGGATGCTTTTTTTAAAAAAAAAATTTTATTTATTTATTTATTTATGATAGTCACAGAGAGAGAGAGAGAGGCAGAGACATAGGCAGAGGGAGAAGCAGGCTCCATGCACCGGGAGCCCGACGTGGGATTCAATCCCGGGTCTCCAGGATCGCGCCCTGGGCCAAAGGCAGGCGCCAAACCGCTGCGCCACCCAGGGATCCCAGTAGGATGCTTTTTAACCTCCATGTATTTGAGTTGAAGATAGTCTCTTCAACAAATATTGTTGGAAGAATTGGACAGCTACATGCAGAAGAATGAAACTGGATCACTTCCTCACATCATATATAAAAACAGACTCAAAATGGATGAAAGACCTAAATGTGAGGCATCTCACATCAGAATCCTAGAGGAATTCATCAAAATCCTAGAGGAGAACACAGGCAGCAACCTCTTTGACCTCGGTAGAAGCAACTTCTTGCTCAACATGTCTCCAAAAGCAAGGGAAACAAAGGCAAAAATGAACTATTGGGACTTCATCAAGATAAAAAGCTTCTGCACAGTAAACAGTCAATGAAACCAAAAGGTAACCTACAGAATGAGAGAAGATATTTGCAAATGGTACATCAGATAAAGGGCCAGTATCCAAAATCTATAAAGAACTTATCAAACTCAACAACTCAGAGAGTAATCCAATCAAAAATGGGCAGAAGACCTGAACAGACATTTCTCCAAAAAAGGCATACAGATGGCCACCAGACACATGAAAAAATGCTCATTATCACTTAGCATCAGGGAAATACAAATCAAAACCACAATAAGATACTAAATAACTAAAATTACAAGTCAGGAAATGACAGATGTTGGTGAGGATGTGGAGAAAGGGGAAGCCTCTTACAGTGTTGGTGGGAATGCAAGCTGGTGCAGCCACTCTAGAAAACAGTATAGAGGTTCCTCAAAAAGTTGAAAATAGAGTTACCCAATGACCCAGCAATTGCGCTACTGGGTATATACCCCAAAGATACAAATGTAGTGATCTGAAGGAGTCCCTACACACCCCATGTTTATAGCAGCAGTGTCCATAATAGACTATGGAAAGAGCCCAGATATCCGTCAGCAGATGAGTGGATAAAAGATGTGTTATATATGTATATACAGTGGACTCTACTAGTCATCTATCAAAAAAAATGAAATCTTGCCATTTGCAATGAGGTGGATGGAACTAGAGGATGTTACACTAAGTGAAATAAGTCAATCATAGACAATTATCTCACTCATGTGGAATTTAAGAAATAAAACAGAGGGGATGCCTTGGTGGCTCAGCAGTTGAGTGACTGTCTGTCTTCAGCCCAGGGCGTGATCCCACAGTCCTGGGATCGAGTTCCACATCAGGCTTCCTGCATGGAGTCTGCTTCTCCCTCTGCCTCTGTCTATGCCTCTTTCTGCGTCTCTCATGAGTAAGTAAATAAAATCTTAAAAAAAAAAAAAACGGAATAGTAGGGGAGGAGAGTAAAACATAAAACAAGACAGAGAAGGAGACAAAGCATAAAAGATTCTTAAGCATAGGAATCAAACTGAGAGTCACTGGAGGGGATTGGGTAGGGGGACAGGGTAACTGGGTGATGAACATTAAGAAGGGCACATGATGTAATGAGCACTGGGTATTATATGAGACTGATGAGTCACTGACCTCTATCTCTGAAACCAATAATACATTATATGTTAATTGAATTTAAATAAAATTTTAAAAATACAAAAAAGAAAAACTAAGTGAAACAAATCTTCTAATTTTAATAATCTTAACATTCACTTTTATGTGTTAAATTGGAGCTTTTTATGATTTATCTTCTGTGTACTTCATCAGTATGAGTACTTTAATCTTTTTTTAATTCAAATTCGATCTTTCAGTATGTCAATCTCCCTATTTTTGAAAAAAAAATCTCCCTATTTTTGCATTATTTGGGGATACATATTATCGAGATAATAGCATTTCTACTTATACACACACTTCTACATTTTAGCTTTATTGTTTTTTTTTCAATTTTATTATACTATAATTGACATACAATATGTGAGTTACCTGCACATACTTAAGAGTTACAATTTAATAAACTTTGACATATATATACATGTATTAAATTATCCTCATACTCAATATAATGAATATATCTCTCATCCTCAAAAGTTTCCTTGTATTTCTTTTTCTTCCCTGATGCTTCTTCCCACCTGCCATTCCCTCCTCAAGGAACTATTGATCCTTCTGTCATTATTCAATTAGTTCAAGTGTGGGGATCCCTGGGTGGCTCAGCAGATTGGCGCCTGCCTTTGGCCCGGGGTGTGATGCTAGAGTCCCGGGATCGAGTCCCACATCAGGCTTCTTGCATGAACCTGCTTCTCCCTCTGCCTATGTCCCTACCCCTCTCTGTCTCTCTCTCATGAATAAATGAATAAAATCTTTAAAAAAATTAATTCAGGTGTTCTAGAATTTTATCTAAATGGAATATACTATGTACTCTTCATTGAGCTGCTTTCACTGGACATAATTACTTTGAGATTTATATTATATCTGAAGTTAATTTGTTTTTATTGTTGAATAGTATTCTGTTATATTGATATGTCAAATAGATATTTGATTTGTTTCCACTATATACACACACACACAGACTTGTATTTGTAGCTGTACTTGTTAGAGCCAAAAAGTGGAAACAAATCAAATATCTATTTGACATATATGTACAATATATGTAATATATTGTAATTGTAATATATGTATATATTATATTGTAATATATTACAATTGTAATATGTGTATATATATATATTGTAATATGTGTATATATGTACTATATATATGTATATAGTAAATACCAAGGATTAGGATGGTTGAATCATATGATAGATATGTTTAACTCTGGAGAAATTTTCAAACAGTTTTCCAATATGGTTTTAACATTTTGTATTCCCAGTAGCGGTGCTTTATATCTTCCAGTTGCTTTATATCTTTGCCCACACTTTTTCTGTCTTTTTAATTTTAGTAATATGGGTAGATGTATAGTATCTTACTGTGGTTTTAACTACTTTTCCCTAATGATTAGTGATGTTGATCATCTGGTCATTTACTTATTTGCCATTCTTCTATCCTCTTTAGTGAAATGTCTCTTCAAATATTTGCCCATATTAATTGGTTGTTTATCTTTTTATCATTAACTTATGAAAGTCCTTTATATGGTCTAGCTACAAATTCTTTTGGCTCAGTAGTTAAGTGTCTGCCTTCGGCTCGGATTGTGATCCCAGGCTCTGGGGATTGAGTCCTGCATGGGGCCCACTGTGGGGAGCCTGCTTTTCCCTCTGCCTATGTCTCTCCCTCTCTGTGTGTCTCGAATGAATGAATGAATGAATAAATAAAATCTTAAAAAATTTTTTTAAAATAAAAAAAAAGAATTCTCAAGAAAGACTTTTAGTTGTTATTGTTACCCTGTGCCTAGTAATGGTTAATGAGCTGATTTTCTCTAGTTTGACATTTCTATTAGTGGAAATGATATAGCTTTCCATTATTTCCACTAATGGTATAGGTTTCACTGGCTTTCATTGGAGGATCGTAGTTCTCATTCTTGTGGGGTTTTTTTAAAGATTTTATTTATTTATTGGAGATAGTGGGAGAGTGAGAGAGAAGGACAGAGAGAGGGACAGAAGGAGAGGGAGAAGCAGGCTCTTCACTGAGCAGTGAGCCCAATGTGGGACTTGATCCTAGGACTCCAGGATCATGACCTGACCTGAAGGCAGATATTTAACCAACTGAGCCACCCAGGCACCCGAGGTCTCATGCTTGTATTGCAGACATCTCTATTTCCTCATCTTCTGTTTCTGAGTTAAAACGCAAGACCTTAGGCTACTGAGACAGGGAAATCCCAGCCACATATAATACTAGTTCATAGTCTTATGGCTCTGATTTCTCTTACAAATTCTGATAAGTTTTCTATACATTTAAAATGATGCTTCATGGGCGCCTAGGTGGCTCAGTGGTTGAGTGTCTGCTTTCTGCTCAGGTCATGATTGCGGGGTCCTGGGATTGAGTCCTGCATCGGTTCCCTGCAGGGAGCATGCTTCTCCCTCTGCCTGTGTCTCTGCCTCTCTGTCCCTCTCGTGAATAAATAAAATCTTTTAAAAAAATGATGCTTCATACATCTTATTTAGTGTGTCTAAGCGTTTTTGCAGACGACTTTCTGATTATCTTATTTCCATATTGCCAGAAATTAGTCTGTTAAATTATTGACTATGCCTACCTACTTCACCATAGCTTCCTCAGCACCCAGTGCCTTGTACATACTAGGCACCTAACAAATGTTTGTGGAATGAAGTTCTGTTCATTAGAAATTTGTTAATAATAGCAAAAAAACAAAATGAACTTAAATGTCCAATAATAGGGGAGTACTTAAATAAATGATTGTATTTACTTAAAGTAATAGCTATTGCTCATATAATACTTCTCAGCCAGAAAATGGTGATTTGGAGGGCTGTATTATAGGACTGAAAAATATTAAAGATTAAGTATAAATGATAAAAAATAATAAAAATAAAAAAATTGATTAAAAATGATAAAGGATTCAATTTTGAATTTATAGTATAGTAACTTTAAAATACATATTGTGAAAAAAATACTTAATAGTGAACACCAAAATGCTAATAGTAGCTTTTTATGGAGTGGTGGATTAAGGATCCCTTTTTACTCTTGATTCTCCAAACTTTCTATAATTTACTTTTATAAAGAAAATATTAGAAAAAGTGTATATTACTGTTATTACCAGTTTTTAGATTTAAATACCCTAAAAAGTTGATAAAGCATAAAAATTTCAGAATTAGTATTATTATTAAAATGTTTACAGACTTTTATATGAAAATACAGAAAAAGATCTCTCTGATACTCAGCGACATCTTGCTAAGAAAAAGTATGAGCTACAGCTTACTCAGGAGAAAATTATGTGCTTGGATGAAAAAATTGGTGAGTTTTTTCCCCCGAAATACCTATATCTATATATGTATATATTTTAAAGTCTGGTAGAAAAATATGTTTTCTTCTCTTCGGTTGTTATATAGATAAACTTGGAAATAGGTCCATAAATTAAAAGTTTATCAACCACAAATCATGGAAAAATGGTTTTAAGTAAAATTTTTTACTTAGATAAAATACTTAGACCATAAATACTTAGACATGGCTTCCTATTTTTCAGTGAAGAAATAGCTTAACAAAGCAGTGACACTTCGTGAATTTATCATGATCCCTTGTAAATTTACATTTTCATGCTACATTGTAGCTTGTCCATAGTGTTGTAATGAAACATGGTACATATCTGTATATTACTTTTCATGGAAAGTATACATATATTTGACTATATCCATGCTATCACTTGGATTCATAGAGAACATTGTTTTTGTGTCCTATTTATGTTTCTTACCAGTGATCTCTGAAAATGCGGTCATAACTTAATCTTTATAGCTAGAAAGAAAATTTTGGCCAGGACTATTAAAAAGCCCATTTTAAAATGGGGAATTTTTTTTAACATTTTCTATTTTGTAATTCAAAATCTCTGGCATAAACAATTAGCTGAGTAGAGGTGCTTTTTATTAAGATAGGAAATACTGCAAGAGTACTATAGAAGGGGAATATTAACTCATTTTTGGATTTTTTAAGTTAAGTAAAAATATAAGGCAAGCAGTAAAATAGATAAGTTCTTATCTCAGAAGAGAAATCTAAGCTAAAGATATACATTTGAGACATATTAGCGTGTAAATGGTATTTTAAAACCATGAAATTACCTAGGGAAAATAATAGACAATGAGGAGAAAAGGATCCAGGACTGAGTAAGAAGAAACCAAAGAAGTAGAAAGAAAACCCAGAAGTAAGTGTTATTTTGGGAGGCAAGAGAGCAAAATACGTTAAAAGGAGGGTATGATCAATTGTCACATCCTTTTGAGAGGCAAAATAACATGAGAAAAAATATTGATTGGATCTGGCATACTGGAAGTTTTGGTAACATTGACCAAAAAAGTGTGAATGGAGTGTTGGATGTGGAAGATGGAGGAGGTTGAGGAGTGATTGGGAATTGAGGAAGTAGGGACAGGAGGAATAGGAGTTTCTTAAACTTAGTTATTAACAGAAGCAGAAATATGGTGTGGTAGTTTGAGTGAGCTATGAGGTTGAGGATGTTTTTTTAAGCTAGGAAATACTACAGCTGTTGTAGAGTTTTAAAATTTATTTATTTTATGCCAATGGAAATGAACTCAAATTCAGAATACCTAAAAGGGGTGGTTTGCCTTAAAGACAGTACTCTCTGTAAAAGGGACATGATGTATTTTTAAGTACTGTATAGATTATCCTCTTAGCATGTGGTGTTACCTTTCTTAGCACTTCTCTGGACGACTGTTGGCAAGGATATACCTAGAGGTCTGGTCTAACAGAGCTTCCCATGTAGAGTTTTAGACCAGGGGTTCTCAAACTTTAGTGTGTATCTGAATCACTTGGAGAGCTAATAAACATCACTGGAGCTAGGCTCCTTGAGGTAAGATATGGCTAAGGCTTTGTGTATCTTTACTAATTTCCTCAGGTGGTTCTCAAACTTTGTCATGCATTAGAATCACATGGGTGGGTGGGGTGCTTGTGAAAACCTAAATTGCTGTGCCTACTCAGAATTTCTGATTTAGTAGTGTGGTATGGGACCTAAAAATTTATATTTCTGACAAGTTCCCAGATGATGCTGATGGTGCTGGATGAAAAACCACAATTTGAAAACCACTATTCTATATCAGTCAGTCAGACCTTCAACATTGACATTGGCTTGCCAGTGTTATCACAAATTAGACTTCCTGGGATGTTTAATTTTTTTCCCCTAGGAATTTTTATAACCCTACTTTAGCAAAATTAGAATATCAGGAGATATTTGACTCTGAAAATGACCTAAACAATATTTTATTAAGATCCTTTAGTTACCAACTTAAATGCAATGGTGATTCTAGGCTAGAGGGTGGGGAAATTAGAAGGAGAAAGATCACAGGTTGTTTTAATATTCCACTCAGTTTGACCACTCACCCTCTCCTCCCCTACCACACATGTAAATCTACTTTGAGAACTTGTGATACAGGGTTTTCCTTTGCTGTTCTAATTTAAACGTATTAATTGTGCTTTTATGTTTACGAGTCATTTAGAACTTCGTGATTCGTCTTAGTTTTTAATCACTAACAACAAAAGCCATTTTTTATTTAGGATACAGTACTTATTTTTAGTCATTGGACACAATATAGAAGAAAAGTATTTTAGTCTGCTTGAATTGGAAAAAAATTATCTTGATTAAAATAATGCATTTATGATTACATATTTAGATAATTTTACCAGGCAAAGTATTGCCCAGAGAGAAGAAATCAGCATTCTTGGTGCAACCCTCAACGATATGGCTAAAGAAAAGGAATGCCTGCAAACATGTTTGGATAAAAAATCTGAGAATATTGCATCCCTTGGAGAGAGTTTGGCAATGAAAGTATGTTCTGAGAACTGTGGTTTAAAAGAAATGTTTGAACTTGAATCTGAATAAAATGATAGGATTATCTCCATTTTTTTTTCTAGAGAGTTGAAACTATAAAATCTGATTTTGAAATATTTCAAGATAATGTTAGGAACTGTGTGCTCAATTCCACCAGCTAATATTTTAAAATTTATTTTCTCAAAGTTGTGATTAATATTCACTGACCATAACTAATTCAAATATCAAAATTATAAAGCAGTGAGACTGATTTCTTTTTAAAAGAACACCAGAACTTATATCTTCAGATAGTCACCTTAGGAAGCAATATGTTCATTAAAACTACCTTTGCATTTGTCCTCAAAACTAGGAACATATTTTTATATCATCCTCAGCCTTTGAGAGTAAATCATATGTAGCTGGTAAATAAAGCTGGATGATAGTCTCTATCTCACATTTTTTATTGTTCAGTAATAACAAAAGTGTTGCCAAAAAGGCAGGGAAATATTGATACCCTTTTCTATTTCATAAGCCAATTCTAAAGACAATTCCCAAACTGTTTTCCACAAATAATTTAAGCAAAGGCAGCATCATTGGAATAAGGTTTTTTTCCTCTCAAAGGATCTAATTCATTCATTTTTTTCCATCCATCCATTCATTCAACATTTATTGACATGTACCATATATAATGTTAGAAACTGAGAATGAGTAAGTACATCTTCCAGGAGCCTATAGTATAATTGGAAGGAAGATAAAATAAGATGCTATCATGATGGAATGTGCTAAGTGCCTTAGCAATGTGGCACAATGTGCGAATGGAGTTAGGCAGAAACACATCTAATTCAGCCTAGGGATTGGATTAGGGGAGGAGAAAGATCTAGAGAGACTTCCAGGATGTGATGATGCCTGGACTGCCTTGTGATCACTAGGAATAGCCAGGGCAAGACTTAGAGGAAGGGGGCAGTGAGAGAAAGGGTGATCCAGACAGGTAAAGCAGCTCCTATGAAAGTCCAGAGGCTTTCATAAGAGAATTTCAGGAGACATCAGTATAGGAACAGGGCTGGGGAACAAGAGATGAGAGGGTTAAGCAACAAATCATGAAAATATGTATGATATTGAGTTTAGACTTTATCATTGTGGATATGGAGGATCATTGAAATAGTGCAAATGAAGCGACACAATTAGATCTTTATTTTGAAAGAAATATTCTGGCACTTCTTAGTCCATGTAAAGGATGGATTATAAGGAAATGAGAATACCATAATACCAGCTACAAGTAAAATGATAGGAATTGTATTAGAGTAGTGACAGTATTTGCAAGAGAAATAGTTCTTTTAAGGAAGATTGACAAGATATGTTTTCTGGCTAAGGAACTACATGAATGGTTTCCATGCCATTAATTAGGAAACAAATAGAATAGGCTTGGGAAGATTATTAACATGTCTTTGGCACATAGTTGAAATATTCTTGAATTTTTAAGTTCGGAGAGAAAGTTGAAGTGAAGTTAATTTGGGAATCATGAACACAACTGAAATCTTGCTATCCAAGTCCATGAGATAGTAAATTTTGGCTTATTTTTTGAAAAAGCCCACTCATTACTTAACATGGGTTAAGTTACTTAACATGGGTTACTTAACACGGGTTTTGTGGGGAGTAGAGTTTTGCCTCTCATTTTATTCAGAACACTTTTTGAATAACTCAACACAATTTTCTTTAAAAACACTAATATTTAGAAACAAATATTTAGAATATTCTGAATCATTTTCCTCTGCTATATCTAATATTTCAGTTTCTTCAGTTCTGCTAACTTTACTGACATTTTTTCTTCACAAGGAATATTGAGTTGTAAATCCATTTTCAAAAACAAGAGCTTTATATAAGATCATGAATGTAAATACATCCATCCTCTGAAGGGGAAATAGCATTTTAAAACAGTGTTAGACATTCAAAAGAGGAAATGTTCTCACAATATTTCAGAGCTGAATTTACAAATACCCCTCACTAAAAAAGCAGTACTTTTAGAGTCTAATCTGGTGATTACAGAAATAAATTACTGTGGGAAAAGTACATTTTAGTGAATAAGGGAAATTTTTTTTCTGGTAATCCTAGTTTTATTTTATTTTATTTTTTATTTTTTTGTAATCCTAGTTTTTTTTTTGTAATCCTAGTTTTATTTTTTTATTTTTTATTTTTTGTAATCCTAGTTTTAAAAGAAGTTTTACTACTTGCTATCAATTAAAGTTAGAAAACTTGATAACAAGTTTACATATTTTTGAATAATAAAACAACTATTTGTATAACATTTTAGTTCCTTTTTTCTAAGTAGATTTATGACCATCCTTTACACATTGAATTTTTTTTAAATATTTTATTTATTTATTCATGAGAGATGCAGAGAGAGAGGCAGAGACATAGGCAGAGAGAGAGAGAGAAGCAGGCTCCATGCAGGGAGCCTGATGTGGGACTCGATCCCGGGGACTCTAGGATCAGGCCCTGGGCCAAAGGCAGGCATTAAACCACTGAGCCATCCAGGGATCCCATACACGTTGAATTTTTAATAATTAACTTGAGCCTCTGTCTCTGGACAAGCCTATTGAGGTTGTACAAGGAATATTAAATTGATAATGATGGAATAGATTTCAGCAGTTTGGGAAGTGGTGATTTTAGGGTCATATTAAGAGAAAAATAGGCTGAGGATATGTTATTAGATTTTACCCAGTAATTTTGTTATCCTGGATGCTTTACAATGTTCTCAGAAAATTTTACTTTCAATATAAATTTCTATTGATACAGTAAAGTCCTGTATAGACTTATAAATCGTATTTAAAGCTTAGCCAAGTAATGGCTTTCAGAAACACTAGAAGTCCAGTTAGTTTTTATAATTTATTTATGAATGTATTGTTATATTTCAAAACCTTGTATAAATTTCATTTTAAGCAGTATTTTCTTTTTATTGGCTTGTGCTTTTTAAAGGGGTTTAACTGCTTTGCTAATAGTATTTTAATGGATATCCTCTCATGTGCATTACTGCCTAATGTGGACTCTGCACCATTCTAACACAAAGCAACTGGAAGCTAAAAATACCCTGGAGAGGAGCACATGAATAAAGGCAGATAACACACATACACGAATAAAGGAAAATAACACACACTCACACACATGCAACTAACTGTCTCTCGAAAGAAGAGAAACAGAGCTGGTTGGAAATATAGGTTTAGTTTTTCATCTTGCTGTTTGGTTACTAAGGATTTGAAAATTCAAAAGGCAAAACGAATTGTAGTTATTTAGTGAAACAATAATTTTCCTACTTTTTTTAGGTCTAATGTTAGCCCTAAGTATCTATGTACAGTTATCTGTAGTTCAGGATCATTGAGAGTTCTTTTTTTTTTTAAAAAAAAAAACTCTTTTAAAAGGTTTATTTTATTTATTTATTCGAGAGAGAGAGAGAGAGAGAGAGGAGGGGAGGCAGGGACACAGGAGGAGGGAGAAGCAGGCTCTATACTGGGACCCCAACATGGGACTCGATCCTGGGACTCCAGGATTGGACCCTGGGCCAAAGGCAGGCGCTAAACCTGAGCCACCCAGGGATCCCCTTATTGAGCCACCCAGGGATTCCCTTATTGAGAGTTTTAAAGGCAGGTATAGGGATGATATTGATGGCATTAAGATATTCACACCCACTTCAATCTTAAATGACTCCATTAATTCTACTCCCTCACCACACCCTTGTAAAGGGAGAATGTCAGTAGTTGATTTTTTTATACCTTTGCTGTAGGCCTAATGCTTACCTTTTTATTAGTTACACCTAAAATTAATAGTATTTTTTTAATAAATAATTCAGTTGGAATGGCTTTTTGAAGGTGTTGTTGATGACTAATATAAATAGCTTCCTTGATCAAAGTTATTCCTCAGAACTAAAATTAGTGTTATATGATTCACTTCCCTTGGTTTTACAACTTGGAGAAGTGAGGAGGTGAATCAGTCTTGTTCCCAGTATACAACACTCCGATGCCAAACCACTGGTTTGCCAACAAAAACAGGGTCCTTATGGGGTCCTTGTGTTGCTGGGTGACTATACAAAACATTTTAACCAAGTATTTGCTACATTGATCTCATATCAGTGCACCAAAATGTAGTCTTTAATAAGCACAATCTTGTTTTTATCCATTACAAATACACCAGTACATCAGGCTTTAGTTTTAAAGTGTAAAAAAGAAGAATAGAATGTAAATGTTTAAAACCAAATGGGAATCAAAAAGGGAGAGGAGCATTTCTCTTTGTTCATTCAATTTTAAAAGAAATAGTTTAAAATAATTTTTTATTTAATACTTATATTACTTTTCAAGGAAAAGACCATTTCAGGCATGAAGAATATCATTGCTGAGATGGAACAGGCATCAAGGTAAGTCATCACTCAACAAAAATTTGAGCACTTATTTGGGGCAAAGTACTATGTTAGGTACAGATAGTAGGAGACAAGGGGCTTAGTGATACATATAAGGTTATAACTTTCTAATGTTGAAAGGAGGCATAGTCTGTCTAGCGAAATAAAGAAAATATGGTGTTAACAACAACAAAAAAAGAATAGAAAAGAACCACAGATCATGTTTAAGAGCCTCTTGAATGACAAGTAGGTGAGTGTGTTAGAACCCAAAGTATAAATAAGTGAGGGAAGGAAAGGCTAAATGTCAGAGGCCAGTGGTATAGACAAATGAGTCTTGATTGTATCTTTTGGACAGTAAGAAATCATTAAAGAACATTGGGGAGATTTTTGTGTTAGAAAGATTACCTAGGCGGAAGAGATGATGATAGATTGGGGTGGATGAGTTGGGAGACAGGAGTAACGTGCTTGTGAGGGGGAGAATCTAGGAGAATGCCAATTTTTTGACTGGGGATGAATACTGAACATTATGAAAGTATGTGGAAACATATGATTTTCCTCTGAATTTGAAGAGCCTTTGAGAATTTCTTGTATGTCTAATAATCAGTTAAACATGAGTTAAATATGAGTTTGGAGTGAAAGAGGCTGAGATTGGAGATAAGATTTCAGAGTCATCTGAAGATGGGGCTGGGAGCCATGGCTATGAATAGGATTTTCTGAGAGAAGGGGTAGAGTGAGAAGAATTAGGAAGCTGAGAGTTAAGCCCTGAGAACCATTAATTTTTAAGAGGCGAGAGGACAAGGAAACTGCAAAGAAGACTAAGCTATAGCAGCTACAGGTAGGGTGAAGGCTTTCTTATAGTTGAACATCAGAAGTTTTCTAAATACTTAGCAAATCATTGACATGTATATTTAGCATCCCCCCCCTTTTTTTAAAGATTTATTTTTTATTTATTTTTATTTTTATTTATTCTTGAGAGAGAGAGAGAGAGAGAGAGAGAGAGAGAGAGAGAGAGAGGCAGAGACACAAGCAGGCTCCATGCAGGGAGCCCGACATGGAGCCCGACATGGGACCCGACGTGGGACCCGACATGGGACTCGATCCCAGGTCTCCAGGATCAGGCCCTGGGCTGAAGGCGGCGCTAAACCGCTGAGCCACCCGGGCTGCCCTCTTTTAAAGATTTTATTTATTCATGAGAGGCAGAGACAAAGGCAGAGGGAGAAGAAGGCTCCACACAGGGAGCCCGATGCAGGACTCATTCCCAGGATTCTGGGATCACGCTCTGAGCTGACGGCAGACAACCAATGAGCCACCCAAGCGTCCCTAGCATCCCTTTTTATAGTGAAATGTGGGTAACATAGAGAAATTCCAATCAACTACATTTAAATTTTAAATGTGTTTATTTTTTTTTAAATGTGTTTAGAATGTCAAATGGTCTCATACTAACTGTCCATCTTCTTTCTTACGAGAATTAGTTATTCTGTTTTTGGTAAAATGTTTCTTCTTATGTACTATCTGATTTGTGGAATAGACAGTCTACTGAAGCCCTAATTATGTGTGAACAAGACATTTCCAGAATGCGTCGGCAATTGGATGAAACAAATGATGAGCTGGCTCAGATTGCCAGGGAAAGAGATATCTTGGCTCATGAGAATGACAATCTCCAAGAACAGTTTTCTAAAGCTAAACAAGAAAACCAGGTACACTTTTTCCTAGAATCTTGTTTTGTTCTGAGGCACAGTCCTCATTTCATTTCATAGAAAAGTTCAGCTTTGGAATCAGCCACTTTTTAAACCTTTATTACATAGAATATACCACATAATTTCTAAATGAAATTCTCAGACATAAAGTATTAAAGGAGAGAGAGGGAGTGATGATATAATAGATTTATATTAAACTTTAGGAAGTACTTCCTTTTTTGTATATTTTTTATTGGAGTTTGATTTGCCAACATATAACACCCAGTGCTCATCACCCAATGCCCCCATCCCCCTGTCCCAACTCCCCTTCCACTACCCCCTATTCATTTTCCAGAGTTGGGTGTCTCTCATGCTTTGTCACCCTCTCTGATTTTTCCCACTCATTTTCTCTCCTTTCCCCTATAATCCCTTTCACTATTTCTTATATTCCCCGTATAAGTGAAACCATATAATGATTGTCCTTCTCCGATTGATTTACTTCACTCAGCATAATACCCCCCAGTTCCATCCACATTGAAGCAAATGGTGGGTATTCGTTGTTTCTAATGGCTGAGTAATATTCCATTATATATATATATATATATATATATATATATATATATATATATGTATATCTCATATCTACTTTATCCATTCATCTTTCTATGGACACTGAGGCTCCTTCCACAGTTTGGCCACCGTGGACATTGCTGCTATAAACATTGGGGTACAGGTGTCCTGGCGTTTCACTGCATTTGTATCTTTGGGGTAAATACCCAGTAGTGCAATTGCTGCACTCCTTTTATTTATTTATTTATTTATTTATTTATTTATTTATTTATTTATTTATTTATTTTTTTACTCCTTTTTATTTTTAAAAAATTAATGAATAGCAGTAATAACAAAGGTATGAATTTATAGGACCTACTTATAGCTAGAGCAAATAGGCTAAAGGTAAATATATTTATGAAAAACTAGATTAAACACTCTTTTTACCACCCAGAAATAGTCACCGTTAGCATATATTTTTACTGTTTTCAATGTACTTTAAAAAATTTTTGTACTTTTATTTACATGAACTTTTTCATGTAACTGGTATAAAACCTCATTCCACTTTATATCATGCTTTTTTCTACATGATAAGATAGTCAAGCAGCATATTTGCCTTTCCTGTTTTTATGAGCATTTAAAAATGTTTCTTGAAAAAAAAGTTTCCTGAAATAGATTATAGATAGTAGATAGTAGATCACAGATTTACTTTTTACAAATTTAAGATAACTCCAAGATACATGGAAATGCTCATTCTTTGCTATAATGGAATAAGTTTAATTCTTTGCTGATTTGGAGGGCAAAATAGTATTTAAAAAATTATTTAAATTTAGAATTAAAATGTAAACATTTAAAAGTTTAAAAAATTAAAAAATTTTTGATTAACTTTTTTCAAGTGTTACCTACTTGTGCTTCATTTTTGTGAATTGTGTGTTTGAGTTATTTGCTCATTTACTATTTTGATTCTTGTATTTTCCATTTTGTTTTTTCCCTAGTGGGATGATAGGCCTCATATCTCCTATTATCCCACAACCTCATCCAGATTTATTCACATGGTAATGGTTGTAGTATTCCCAAAAGCAGCAACAGAAAGTCCCAATAAAGAAAAAATTTTCAAGCCTATATTTGTGTCCTGTTGTTTATTGCCCCATTAGCCAAACAAATTGTGAAGGCAAGTTTAGATAGAGGTTTGGTTAAATGAACTTCGACTCACTGGAAGGAGTTTGCAAGGTTTTAAGGCAAGGAATGTGGTATTAAAAGGCAGGAAGATTTGAGGTGTTTTTGGTTTTTATGAGTTTTATATATGAGATATTTTTATTTATCATTATTATAAATATTTAAGATTTATGGTGGTTTTGACGTAAAGCAATCGTTATTACTTTTTTTGTAGTCAAATCTAGCTATCTTTTTCTTATAGGCCCTGTCTAAAAAATTGAATGATACGCACAATGAACTAAATGACATAAAACAGAAGGTCCAAGATACTAATTTGGAGGTTAACAAGCTGAAGAATATATTAAAGTCTGAAGTATGTATATAGTTTTTTCCTCTTTGCTCATGATTTCTAAGAGATTTTGCTGAAGTTATTGATCATAGGGATAGCTGAACCAAGTCTTTCTTTAATATATTGAATATTTTTGTATTGACAAAGATGGATTTAGTATATATTTAGAATATCACCAATGTCCAGAAAGGTAACTCAAGAATATGTCACTTTTAGTATGCCATTTAGCCATTCTAGATAAGTGGATTCCTCCTAACTGAATGAAGGACAGGGGACCAGAATCAACTTGGGCTCACTTATATTTGAGACATGATAATTTTAAGTTTACAGACCTTTGACAAAAGAGGCTCCACCTGATTGTGTAGTAGATCAGAATTGATCACCTTGTTGTAGGGCCATCTGTTTCTTAGGATCAGAGAGTAGATGGCTCTGCTCTGTACTTCTCTGTTAGTAACCATATGACCAGGTACCTGTATTAGCAACAGCTAATACCAAATAAATCTGGATATAGGTGTGCCAACTCTGGAATAAACAGACAGCTTGACCAAGGATGTTAGGTATGTGCATTTGGTAAAATATTATCTAAATACTGTAGCTGGATTGATTACTATAATAGATATAGTGTTCCTTATATACCACTCAAACCATTAATAGGAACTTTCTACCCCCAAACTGTTTTCCTTGTTCTATTTAACATCTCATTTAATACTAGTCTACGAATATTTCTTGAGCATTTTTGGTGTATATAAGATTGTTTAAGACCTTGAGAGAGAAGAGATTCTGAGGACTCCCTAAGCAAGTAAGGCAGTAAGGCAGCAGCCTTATGTTGGCAAAGCAGATGGTTTCCTACATGTCTCAATTTTAAGGTGCCAGCAACATAATACCATAAACACATGGAAGTTTCAAAGTCAGAGGTCTGACCCCTCTTCTCACTATTAACATGGACTTATGTGGGCTGTTCAACCTCTCTGAGTCCCAGTGGCCCATTTGCAACTGGGAAGAAGGCCCAAGTAAGATAGACCTAGGACAGTGAACCATTAGGTATGCATAAGGTAGAATGTAAATCAATGAGTATCTGAACATTTGATGTACTAAGCTTTCATTCAGTGTTAGACACTTTCCTTTTTCTCCCTAGCTTGTCACATTACCTGAAATTCCACTATTAGTGACTGGGGCTTTTAGATTGTGGAATTGTATTTTCAGACATCACACATCAAGGTTCTCTCAGCTGGTAGCATCCTAGTATGAGATTTTTGTTTTGTTTTTAACAGATTTCATTTTACAACAAAGCTAGATGGATCTAGGCAGTTCCTTGAGAGAATAAACCATGGGTCCATTAAAAATTGTTGAATACTTGATTCATTAGCTCATTCATTCAGCATTGTAGTATGCTAGTTGCTGAGGTGCCAGAGATGAAAAACAGAAAACAGAATGGCACCCCAAGCAGTGGAGACAAAATGAGCAAAGGTGTAAGGGGGAAAAAAGTAGGTTCTATAGCATTTTTACTGCTTAATCTTTGAATCGTGTGTTACCTGGGAGTCACGAAACTACATTTAATGTAAAAATTGTTCATATTTTAGTCAGAAAGCTAATATTTAAAAAATGGTTTCTACAAGGAATTCAGAATATTATTGGGGAGACTGGACATCCACACCTAATAGTGTAAAGCTATAAAATAGTGTTAAGAGAATGGTGTAGACAGTGAGTGCTATAGAAAGGTAGAGGGTGAAGATTGATGGGGTAAAATTCAATTTATGGATACTATTACTATGTACCTCCCAGGTACACACTGTGTACACAACTGTTATTTTTAGTGTAATAGTGGAAAACACATCAGATTTCTAGTGGCATATTCTGAATATCTGAATCTTGAAAGCCAGTGCAGTAGTTTAGTATGTTAACTTATTAGTAACTAACAGACTTGGCAAAAATCTTTTACGTTAGTCATAAATAACCAAACCACAAGGTGGCGATATTAACTGAATTTCAGTTCATCAGTCTCCTAATTAATCATACTGGTGAGAACTTAAATCTGATTTGAAAGCCTTATTACAGTGAGGCATTGCTTATTGCAATTTGGTCAGTTTATGGTTCTGAGAGAGATATTCACTGCATATTAACAGGAGAGAAAGAGATCTAATGCCTTTTAATTAATTACCAAAATTATAAATGACATTTTAAGAATGAGTTGACCAAACCATTATTATTAAAATATGCTTTTTAAAAATAGCCTCATAATGATTACTTAATATAGTATATCATTTGTGGAGCTGATTGTTTTCCTTCAGAAATAAGATCCCCTGGGGGCACTTAGTTGGCTCAATCAGTTAAATGACTGACTGACTGACTGTTTCTGCTCAGGTAGGTCATGATCTCAGGATCATGAGATACAGCCCAGAATCAGGCTTAAGATTCTCTCTTTCCCTATCCCTCTGCTGCTGCCCTCACTTGTGCACTCTCTCTCTCTCAAATTAATAAATACAAATTAAAAAAAAGAAATAAGATCCCTTTAAGGTTTTAAAAATTAGTTCTATATCATATTCCCATTATGACTGTATATTTATGAATATTGTTTGTTGGCATAGATTTGATATTTTACTTCTTAGTAATATTAAGCAAGGTACTAGAACAGTGAGCAGAAGTGAATCATAGTATAGTCCATGATGGAGAAAATGAAGGTTGCGGTTATGAATGAATGGCAGGAGCTAGCCAGGAAATGTGCCAAACCAACAGAATTATCAGAAGTTGATGTTTGGGATATGCAAACAGTCAGAAGTTCTGTAGCTAGTACAACCTAGAAAAGCGGTCAAGAACAAGGGAATAGGGATCCCTGGGTGGCGCAGTGGTTTGGCGCCTGCCTTTGGCCCAGGGCACGATCCTGGAGACCCGGGATCGAATCCCACGTCGGGCTCCCGGTGCATGGAGCCTGCTTCTCCCTCTGCCTGTGTCTCTGCCTCTCTCTCTCTCATTCTGTGTGACTATCATAAATAAATAAAAATTAAAAAAAAAATTAAAAAAAAAAAAAAAGAACAAGGGAATACACAGATACAAAAGGTTAGGCCAAGGCAGAAACTCAAGAACCAGACCAGCAAGTAGTAAGTAAACAGATACATAGGGAAAGAAGGCAATGAAGGATTTTGGTTGAACAAAAGCAATAAAAGAACATACTCATCCAGATTCTGAAGGTAGGAGTAAACAGCTTAACTTTACTAGATCAGTGAGTGTGACTCAGGAGCCAGGGCAGATTCTGGTCCCACTCCCTTTTGTTAATTACAGAATGACCAATTTTCTAAGTTGAGTGTAGATGGGATTCCTCGAGTTACAAATGATCCTGTAGCAAATAAATTTCCAATGACCTGACAAATAATGTTTACATTGCATTGTATGTTGACCATTGTACATCTTTTAAAGTAATACCTAAGATTTGCTTTCTAGGAATCTGAGAACCGGCAAATGATGGACCAACTCCGAAAAGCCAATGAAGATGCTGAAAACTGGGAAAATAAGGCCCGTCAAGCAGAGGCAGATAACAATACCCTCAAATTAGAACTTATCACTGCTGAGGCAGAGGGTAACAGATTGAAAGAAAAAGTAGATTCTCTGAACAGAGAGGTTGAGCAGGTAAGTTTGGAAAAATATACTTGTAGGGCATCCTGCATCATCGTTGAAAGAGTTTTGTTTGGCATTCCATAAATTAAATGTATAAACATTTAAACTATTTAAATATATTGTGAATTGTAGCCTAATTGTTCTCCTATATCTGATCTGGTTCTGCTTTCACCTATTACCTGCCCTACAACCAGGTCATTTTAAATCTTCAGCATTTTAAAAAATTAGGAATTGTTTCATATATACCAAAAAAGTGCCAAAAAAAAAGTAATATAAATAACACATATGTGCCAATCTCCCCAGTTGAAGGATGCTAACATTTTTCATATTGTGTCAAGATTCTCTTTTTATAAAGAAACAAATTACAGATACAACTCTTCATCCTTCCCGCTCCTCCCTCCCTAATGGTTGGCATGGATAACTTTCATGTCAGTTATGTAACTATTTTGCATATGTTTATACTTTTTCTATATATCTATCACCCACACATTATGTATAGTATTGTTTTGTGGCTTTTTTAAGTGATACTCTAGATATCCATTTGCAGTTTGCCTTTTTTGCTCCATATCATAATTTTGAAATTCATCTATTTTGATACATACAGTATACATCCAAACAGTTGCATCTGTAGTCATTGTATAAATATATTTTAAAAATTCATTCCCATATTAAAGGAAATTTAATTGTCTTCACTTTTTCTATAATAACATGCTACAATGAACATTCTTTTAGTATTCTCCTTGGGTATGTATTTCTCTGATTTTATGCCCAAAAGTGGAATAACTGGATAGATTTGGGCAGTTTTAACTCTTTGAAGTATTGTCAAAGTGCTCTCTACAGTTTTACCCTTTAACCAGGAATTATGGATTTTTATTTTCTCAGATACTAATCAATACTTGATATGGTCAGACTTTTACATTTTTCTATACTTTTTTGTTTTCTATTTCCTTAATTACAGTGAAATTGAGGATCTTTTCATGTTTCCTGGCCATTCCTGTGTTCTTCTCTAGGATTTTTATGGTTTTAGGTCTCATATTTAGATCTTTAATCCATTTTTAATTTATTTTTGTGTTTGGTGTAAGAGTGTGCCCCAGTTTCATTCTTTTGCATGCTGCTGTCCACTTTTCCCAACACCGTTTGTTGAAGAGACTGTTTTTTGTTTTTTTTTCCCCTTCAGATATTCTTTCCTGCTTTGATGAGTATTAATTGATCATAAAGCTATGCTTCATTTGTAGGTGTTCTGTTCTATTGATTTATGTCTCTGTTTTTGTGCCAGTGCCATCTTGTTTTGTTCACTAGACCTTTGTATTATAACTTGAAATCTGGAATTGTGATGCCTCCAGCTTTGCTTTTCTTTTTCAAGGTTACTTTGGCTATTCAGGGTCTTTTGTGGTTCCATACAAATTTTAGGATTGTTCTAGTTCTGTGAAAAATACTGGTGGTATTTTGATAGGGATTGCATTAAATGTGTAGATTGCTTTGGGTAGTATAGATATTTTAACAATATTTATTCTTCTAATCCATGAGCATGAAGTATCTTTCTATTTCTTTGTGTCATCTTCAATTTTTTTCATTAGTGTTTTATACTTTTCAGAGTACAGGTCTTTCACCTCTTTGGTTAGGTGCATTTCCTAGGTATCTTATGGTTTTTGGTGCAATTATAACCGGGATTGATTGCTTCATTTCTCTTTCTGCTGCTTCATTTTGTTGGGATATAGAAATATAACAGAGTTCTCTAGGTTGGTTTTGTGTCCTGTGACCTTACTGAATTTGTGTATCAGTTCTAGCAGTCTTTTGCTGGACTTTTTCAAGTTTTCTTTTTTTTTACGATTGTATTTATTTATTTGACAGAGCGAGAGTACAAGCAGGGAAAGCAGCAGGCAGAGGGAGAGGGAGAAGCACACAGTGCTCTGTCTGAGGACCCTGAGATCATGACCGGAGCTGAAGGCTGACGCTTAACCGACTGACCCACCCAGGCACTCCTATATAGAGTATCATGTCATCTGCAAATAGTGAAAGTTTGACTTCTTCCTTGCCAATTTGGATGCTTTTTATTTCTTTTTGTTGCTGTGGTTAGGACTTCTATTATGTTAAATGACAGTGGTGTGAGTGGACATCCTTATCTTTTTCTCTGACCATAGAGGAAAAGCTCTCAGTTTTTCCCCATTGAGGATATTAGCTGTGGGTTTTTTGTATATGGCTTTTATTATGTTGAGATATGTTCTGTCTAAACCTATTTTGTTGAGTTTTTTTTAAAGATTTTATTTATTTATTCATAAGAGACACAGAGAGAGAGGCAAAAAGTAGGCTCTCTGCAAGGAGCCTGATGAGGGACTCGATCCCAGGATCCCAGGATCATGACCTGAACCGAAGGCAGATGCTCAACCACTGAGCCACCCAGGTGCCCCTGTTGAGGGTTTTTATCATGATTGAATGCTGTACTTTGTCAATGTTTTTTTCCTGCATCTACTAAATGATCATACGGTTCTTATGCCTTCTTTTATTATTGTGGTATATAATAGCACATTGATAGGGATCCCTGGGTGGCGCAGCGGTTTAGCGCCTGCCTTTGGCCCAGGGCGCGATCCTGGAGACCCGGGATTGAATCCCACATTGGGCTCCCAGTGCATGGAGCCTGCTTCTCCCTCTGCCTGTGTCTCTGCCTCTCTCTCCCTCTCTCTCTCTCTGTGTGACTATCATAAATAAATAAAAATTAAAAAAAAATAGCACATTGATAGATTTGCAAATATTGAACCACCTTGGCAACCCAGGAATAAATCCCATTTGATTGTGGTGAATGATTTTTTAAAATATATTATTGGATTCAGTTTGCTGTTTTGGTTTTTTTTTTTGAGAATTTTTGCATCCATGTTCATCAGGGATATTGGCCTGTAGGTCTCTCTTTTTCTAAGTTTTTAATTTATTTTTTAGTAATCTCTATACCCAATTCAGGACTTGAATTCATGACCCTGATCAAGAGTCTCACACTCCCCTGACCGAGCCAGATACCCCTGTATTTCTCTTTTTTTAGTCTTTATCTGATTTTGGTATCAGGGTAATGCTGGCCTTATAGAATGAATTTGGAAGCTTTTTCCCTTTTCTTTCTTTCTTTTTTTGTTTTGGAATAGTTTGAGAATAGGTATTAACTCTTCTTTAAATGTTTGGTAGAGGGATGCCTGGGTGGTGCAGCAGTTAGATGTCTGCCTTTGGCTCAGGTTGTGATCCTGGAGTCCTGGGATTGAGTCCCACATTGGGCTCCCTGTATGGAGCTTGCTTCTCCCTCTGCCTGTGTCTCTGCCTGTGTCTCTGTCTCTCTCTGTGTGTGTCTCTCATGAATAAATAAATAAAATCTTTAAAAAAATGTTTGGTAGATTTCTGTGAAGCCATTTGGCCCTAGACCTTGTTGGAAGTTTTTTGATTACTGATCCAATTTTTTTGTGTTTTTTTTTTTTTATTTTGGTTTGTCCAAGTTTTCTATTTCTTCCTGTTTGAGTTTTGTTAGTTTATATATTTCTAGGAATTTATCCATTTCTTCTAGGTTGTCCAGTTTGTTTGCATATAGTTTTTATATTCTCTTATAATTGTATTTCTGTGATATTGGCTATTATTTCTCCTCTCTCCTTGTGATTTTATTTATTTGGATCCTTTGTCTTTTTTTGTTTGTTTGTTTTTTCGCTTTTTTTATTTTTTGGTAAGTCTGGCCAAAGATTTATCAATTTTATTAATTTTTTCAAAGAACAAGCTCCTGATTTCATTGATCTGTTCTATTGTTGCCGTTTTTAGTTTCTACATCATTAACTTCTGCTGTAATCTTTATTATTTCCTTCTGTTGCTTCTGCTTCACTTGTTCTTTTTCTAGGTCCTTTAGGTGTAAGGTTTGGTTGTATATTTGAGATTTTTCTTGCTTCTTGAGGTAGGCCTGTATTGCCATATACTTCCCTCTTAGGACCACTTTTGCTGCGTCCCAAAGGTTTTGGACTTTTGTGTTTTCATTTTCATTTGTTTGCATGTATTTTAAAATTTTCTTTGCTTTGATGGTTGACTCATTAATTGTTTAGTAGCATGTTGTTTAACATTAATGTATTTGTGGGTTTTCCAAATGGTTTCTTGTGGTTGACTTCTAGTTTCATAGTGCTGTGGTCAGAAAAGATGCATGGTATGATTTCAATTTCATAGTCGTTGAGGCCTGTTTTATGCACTAATATGTAATCGGTTCTAGAGAATGTTCCATTTGCACTTGAAAAGAATGTGTATTCTGCTGCTTTAGGATGAAATGCTCTCAATATTTCTGTTAAGTCCATCTGCCAATGTATTTTTCAAAGCTGTTGTTTTCTTATTTATTTTCTGTTTAAATTATCTGTCCATTGATGTAAGTGAGGTGTTAAAGTACCCTATTATTATTGTGTTATTATCAATTAGATCCTTTATTTTTGTTATTAATTGTTTTACATATTTGGGTGCTCTCATGTTGAGTGTATAAATATTTACATTGTTATATCTCCATGTTGGATTGTCCCCTTTATGATAACATAATGCTCTTCTGTGTCTCTTTTTATAGTCTTTGTTTTAAAGTCTAGTTTGTCTAATATAAGTATTGCTACTCCAGCTTTCTTTTGACATCATTTTTGTGATAAATGTTTCTCCACTTCCTCACTTTCATTCTGCAGGTATCTTTAGGTCTAAAATGAGTCTCTTATAGGCAGCACATTGATGGATCTTGATGTTTTTTCCATTCTGACACCCTGTCTTTTGATTGGGGTGTTTAGTCCATTTATTTATTTATTTATTTATTTATTTATTTATTTATTTATTCATTCATTCATTCATTCATTTATAATTTTTAAAAAGATTTATTTATTTATTTTGAGAGAGAGAGAGAGAGAGGCAGAGACACAGGAGGAAGGAGAAGCAGGCTCCATGCCGGGAGCCCAACGTAGGTCTCGATCCCGGGACTCCAGGATTGCGCCCTGGGCCAAAGGCAGGCGCCAAACCACTGAGCCACCCAGGGATCC